TTACCACTAATTACTATTTTGTAATTTTCCGTATATTTTATAATTAAAGTGAGTTGAAACCTGTTTTTCGCCTCATTTACTGGCAATCCCAGTACAATTGTGTAAAGGCTGCTTTATCAAAAGTTTAACCGAAATGTCAAGAAACACTAAGACAAAAACTAAGAACAATGTTCAATGTTTCTGCAATCTTCATAATAGCCGGACAGATTTAGATCCAGGACGCGGACGTCAAAGACGACGTGAAAATGGCGTGTTGTGCCCATATATGGATATGCCACGCCATTTTGACGCCATTTTCACGTCGTCTTTGACGTCCGCGTCCTCGATCTAAATCTGTCTAATCTTTGCCATAAGCCATCATCATTCATATACAGGTGTACTTCATATTTGACAAAGTATATTAAAGGCAATTAATATTGGCGTTATTATATTTAATTATTCATTGTAGACCGCGGTTCTTATCAACTTTGATGAGAGTTATATGTTTTGCCCGAATGACACATAGATTTCTGCAATCTCGTTCCCAGAGTATGCCTGTTCGCGGGTTAGCCACTACCTAACCCGCGAACAGGCATACTCTGGGAACGAAATTGGGATTTCTGCTCAATTGCCCGACCTTAAAAATTTGGGGGGCACAGGCCCCCCATGCCCCCCCCCCTGGCCGATACGCCTATGTATAGGACGAGGACTGCCGCCACCAAAACGTGACTTCACATATAATTGATGATGACGTTGCATTATTTTGCATCACATTGTCATGTGTATCAGTGAAAGTCGAATTTCTTGTGTGTTTTTTTTCCACTTTCTTCATTTCGTAAGTTATGTCATTAATATGCATGGAAGTTAAGATATCAGTGGGAGTTGTAGTTGGAGCACGCCCTATCAGTGGATGTTCAGTAAGATTTCAAATTTTGATAGCAAAAAACTCGAACTTGCACTGGTTCTACACCGTGCTGTTAAAATTCATTGTGGTCGTAGGTACGCCACAGAGACTGCCCATGAAGCTACCGTTGGTAGAAACTAGATTATTATAAGACTGATTATAATAATTTTGACAATAGTCTAAAATGTTTTACAACAAACTAAATTTGAAAAAATAAAAAAAATACTTTCGGTTTCTCATTAAATTGCAATGCCATTTATATTAGTTCAATTAATCAGAAGCCAGATTATCTTCTTTTCTGGCATCCAGTTTAAGATAGCACTGTACTGATTGTAACATGTTCTGCATTCTGATCACAGGTTAGATATATTATAGCATTGCTGCCTGAATTTGAATTCAATTTAGATTTTGAAATTACTTTCATTTTCTACATTTTCATGACAATATCTGCTCAGCGATGTAGGTTCTTACTGTAAATTGTGACAGGAATTTTTTTTCATAAAGCTCCCCAAGAGGTTGGATACGAGGTTGGATGTGGCACTCTTCAGATAAATTGATTGGTCAATTTATCTGAAGAGTGCCACATCTTGTGGTACGAAACTATTTAGTAATAAAGATGCCTAGTGGATTTTGTTGATTGTTGTACCTTAATTTAAATATGCTCTGGTTTTCCATTGAGCACTTTACCAAAAGTTTTTATAACCAAATTCTATGTTACTTTACGGAGATTCGGAATCTTTAGGAGATTTGATTACCTTAATATAATTTGTAGTTTGTCAGGCAAGACCTCTCAATATTTGTTGTACAAATGGGCAAATTCAACTTTGTAACTTGTCATACAAACTTGTTGGAGGCCACGGAAGCATCTCGAAAGTATATAAGCGATTAAGCGTTATATATCGGAGAGGAACAAGTATCTAACGGAGAGGAACAAGTATCTAACATGGTATACAAATGCGAAGCACGAGCGTTCTATAAAGGTTCCGGAAAATTTGTATTTGTCTCGGGATTTCTAATATCTCTATGATACCATTTCATGGTTTCACGCTCGTAGTGACATTTTGATGTTTCTCCCAGAGTTTATTTTTTTCACCAAAATACCTCACATCTTCAAGGTGTACAGCCAGCTTCAGCCAGCGTATTTTCAATCTGTAGTAACCCGCGAACAGGCATACTCTGGGAACTAGATTGGCGTCAATCTCGTACCCAGAGCAATGCCTGAGCGCAGGTAAGAAAGGCATTGGCTCTGGGGAAATTGAATTTTACCTGTGCTGTGATTGGTTAACGTTTATCATTAGTGCATGCCGACAAAGAACCAGAACCCCTAAATTTAGGGGTCCCGGTTGTCAATTTCCCCAGAGCCAATGCCTTCCTAGCCCGCACACAGGCATTGCTCTGGGTACGAGATTGGATTGGCGTATTTTAAAAACTAAAATCGTATGAATAAAAGCTACTGATAAAAGCCTCTGCTGAGGCATAGTAATGATCTTTTGGCAAAAATGGTCTTGGCTACACGTACCACTTCTAACTTGAAGAAAGAATATCGTCTCATTTTATTTATTCTCACACATGCAGCCTATCAAGGCAGGGCCTTTTTTAAGGATTTTCCCGTGGGGGGGGGGCATTTTTTGAAAAGGGACCTTTCAGTGAGATATTATATTAAGAGGGGGGTAGCAATGGCTGAAGGCCACGTGTATGGCCAATATACCACGCATGAATGGGGG